CATGACAACACACACCACATCCTCTAATCCAGTTTATTTTCCTCAGCAGAAAATGGAACACGATAAAATTAAAGGAGAAATATGACAGAATTATGGTCTTGCTTTTTTTAATACATTTAACTAAATATGCCACTCTATGCTATAGGGTGTTAAGTAACTCAAACTGATATAAGGTTAAATAATTTTCTTTAAAAGGTACAGAAAGATACTCAATTTCTTCCATTTCTCATTAGCACTCAAACAAAAACAAAGGAACAAGTTTTGTCAAATATTCAAATATCAAAATAAGAACCAGCCAGTTTCTCCTGACTCCCTTTATCCTTCACTGCGTTCTCATTGGAGAAGACGGGAGGAGGGGGCGTGGTAGGAGATGAGGGAGAGAAGAAACGATAACGTGTGCATGAGGATTAGCATAGTTAAGTGGTGTCTGGTTATAAAGGCTGTTCACCTCCATCAACGTTTACATAGTTATTTTGCAAAAGAAGGAAATAAATACAATTTTCTGCCATTCGAGGAAATCTACTGCTTCATGTTTCTGAGTTCTTCCAATTAAAAATCAAACAACAGCAATTCAACATAATCAAATTGGACTTCCTGCAAAGAAATAGCTTTGAATATGGCTACGATGAAACCAAATTAAAATCTGAAGAAGCAAATATCGGCTTTGAAAAAGTCAAACAGAAAGAGTTGATGTTGGTAGAACAGCCCCTTTGAGGAAAAGGAAGGAAGGTGTATTTGAACAATATGCACAGCACAGAGTCCAGCAGAGCGGAGTCAGAAACAAAGACAGAACTAAACATTCGAGGAAAGGGAGAAACAACTCAATTTGAGAATTCACATGTCATTTCTGCAGCATCATCAGACCCGGAGAGCGGCTGTGGTTCGAAACTGTGGCGTCAACAAGACGCTCAACCTCCACCGGGTCCAACAAAAGAAGAATAAAAACAAAAACATGCACGTTGGACCATTGGATGTTCACATTTGATCTCACAACTTGATCAAGTTCATTAGTAGCAGAATTGAACTGAAGAGAAACCGATCAACGTTTGGTTACTTAACCGAAATTGTTTTAAGATTTGCCGACATTTGTCTGGTGTCATTTTTTAAATTTAGGTTCATTTCTTAGCTTCAAAACAAACGTTCACTCGTGCTGCGTATCAATATGACATCACTGATTTAAACTGCGTGAAAAACCCGTCTCTTCGATTTAATCGACTCATACATTAAGAATTATGTTCCCCGATCTGACGCCTGATTCTACTCACAAAAAACACAAAATAAGAAATAAATTATAGAGCTATTCCAAGGATAGTAAGTAATTTGAAGTATTCACTTTCGCACTCTTGTGAGACCATTATGAGCTTCAGATAATTTTTCTTGATGAATACATGACGTTTTGGCGAAGAACTCTTCGTTTGAAGAGTCGTGAATTGAGTCGTGTTCCCCCGTACGTATCAAGAACAACAGTACCACTCAGTAAATTGAAAAAAGGGGAGGGGAAGAGGGAGAAGAGGATCTGCTACACAGAGGATTTATCTGAGTTACTCTTGTCCATTAGTGTGGTTTTTATTTGATTTTTTTTTTTAATAGTTATTTGTATTTTTTCTTTTTGTCAACAGTCCATGTGAGCAGAGGCAGGGATTGGCTGTATTGTCCTCCACGACACCGTGGTAAAGAAGTAAAAACAAGCTAATCACCATGACGGCCACATGAAAAACAAAACAGAATGAAATCAAACCATGACAGCATCCTTGCACTGCCTCACTTTACCATACGACACACTCAAACCTGCACAAATACACTGCTGGTACCATGCATGAGCACAAAACGTTTGGTGATGCCGTGCATGGACCTAAATGTTGGTGGAAGAAGGAAAAGAAAAAAGAGAGGAAGGTGGGGTTACAGGTTTGATACTCCAACCCCTTGATGACGACCTGAGGACTGGTCGTGGGATAGAGCTGGACCCCGCACCCGCGACCAAGAAATGGAAAAATAAAAATCAACAAACAATAACTCAGTTGAATGAGAATCCAAACGGATCAGTTCAGCCGAACGCTACAACAGTTCGTTATCCGTAACTTCCTGTTCTGAAAAAAGGAGCGTGAGCAAGAGGAGGAAACCATGTGCGTGATGTACGACTGACTGGATCCGTCTCTGCGGCGTCCTCCCTCTGAAGACGGCGGGGGTGGGGTTAAGGCTGTGTGTGTGAACATGCGATACTGAACGTGGCTCCGCAGAACAGCCACTGGGGCCACCGGGGCCCCCTGTTGGCCTCGAGCTGCCTCGCCCGGAGCCGAGTCCGCACAGACGCTCCAGGCGGGAAATCGGGGTCGACAAGAGGGCGGCGTCAAGCTCAGATCCAGAATCTTCGGGTCAGATGCAGGATGTTACGACCGTGCTCCCTCCTCCTCCTCTTCTTCCCTCCCCTCCCCCCCTCCCCCATCACCCCATTTGTCATTCCTCCTTGCTCTCACTCCTCCTCCTCCACCTCCTCCTCCTCCTCCTCCTCTTAGTAAGCGCCTCATCTCTTAACTGGATGGCTGGACACAGCGTGACCAATCAGGAGCACTCCTCCCCGATGCGTTGGCACGAGCGGCCCACCTTGCGGTCCAGCTTCACCATCTTGAGGACGGCCTCCTCGCGTCCGCGGCCCAGATGGTCGAACAGGCAGTCGTGCTGCTCAGGTAGACGGTGGAGCATGCAGAATACGTAGCCTGGCGGGGGAAACAGACACAAAGTGGTGAGGGAGGCAGTGACGCAGCTGCGTGTTCTGCTGCTCCTGCTTCGTATGGGAGGAAACGTTACATCAGCGGTTTCACCTCACCAATAACACAAGAGACAGTAACAAAGTCTTTACTCACTTCTTCAACCGATTTGCAAAACTTCCCTCGTCCAATTAAAAAAGAGAAACCAACAAAAACTTTAGGTAATTGAAAAAAGTTGTAATCATGAAGTGCAGTTCAGCGAATCATCTGCAAACCTGTGCATCAGGGACTCAGAAAAGGTGTTAAAAGTTTATTACATCAATCCTCTGCAAAAATCTGAATCTGACAAAAATGAAATTGAGTCAAGGTCTACTTATTTCTATTACTAAGGTTTCAATGACAAAAATATATATTTTTTGAAAGATTCAGGTTTTTAAATTACACATTTTGTTTGTGCTACCACATGTTTAGAAGATCTCCCCATCGTGAGCAGTTTGTGGCTTTTCTTACTTTTAGCATTTACAAAAAATTATACATGGGATCATGAAACTTAAAACAACCTGGGTGTGTTTGTTTAGTGTTGATCCGTTTAAAAGTATCATATGGAAACTGCAGTAATTGAGTCATGGTAAGTAACGACCTGCTGCTGGACTCAGAACCACAGAACCTGAAGTGAAGAGCTGCCGCTGAACACGGAGCTGATCATTTAATGTTCAGCTCAAGCTTGACTCAGAACGCAAACTTGTAAATCACTAGAAGTCGTGAACAATCTCATCACTTGCGTTGATGAGTCGCTGCTGCCACAGAGGGTCACCTGTTCATTCAAAGTTAGTTAATGTTCACAGCATCACGTGGCCAAATTACACCAAACTTCAACACTGTACTTCCCTGGGTCTTTAAAAAAACACATGAGATAACTATGCCCGTACAAGTTAAACTTATGAGGGCATTTATGTGAGGCTACATCCACACTAGGTTTTAATTTTAAAACACATCACTGCTGCTCCGTGTTTTTATCTGCCGCCGACACGACTCCAACGTTTCAGAGCGCCTGAAACAGAGAAGTCTGGAATCTCGATTGGCCCCGTTTGAGTTTGAGAACTGTCATAGTCTGGACAGGAAACGATGCAGTCACCGGCAGTTGTTTGCCGATTGGTTCTCATCAGTCATCACAAACATGCAAAACATTGCTAACACCAACTGTCAGTAACATTTCCACCAAGCCATCACTCCAGGAAAAGAAATCCCTGCTCTGACTCTTCGTCACTCTCTTCTTGTGCGTAGTATTTTCTTTTTACCAAGCAACCAACTGCAGAGTAGACAATCTGCTTCCTGTTTTTTTGCTGACACAAACATTGACCAAGTGTATGTGAATGGTCACAGGATTTGAACTCCAGTGTGTAGCATAGACTGGGATTATAACGGAGATCGTATTCGTTTCAAAACAAAAACACATCAGTATGGATGTAGCCTAAATGTGAGAATAGACCCAGGGGCTGACATGCAGTTCCTGCTACAGAGCAGTGCTTTATGTCAGATTTTCAGTTAAACTACATTGAAAGTAGCTGGATGAAGCGTGTGAACCCTCTGGGGTCATTCTGACACATGACTGACAGAGACAAGGAAGTGTTGTAACTGACCACAGCGGCAGGAGCCCAGTTCCTGCTGCACCAGCTCTAGTTTGGTTTGGCAGCGATAGCAGCGCCGGCGGTTCTTCTGCTTGGGCGTCCCGCGGGCCTCCTCGCTGCTCCCCTCTTTCTCGTCTGTCCGAGGCCGCTTCTCTGGCGTCGCCTCGCTCTCTGAGCCTGAGGCTGCGGAAAAAAAACGACAGGAGTAATGGTTAGCACTCAAAGTGGGGCAGGGCACACAGAACCACCGGCAGGGAGAAGAGGTCGACTGTACCTGATTCTCGTGGACGTTTTGTGGGTGTGCAGAGTGTGCCCTGGGCTGTTTCTGTGGACGACACGCCTGCAGATGTAGATTAAGACACTTGTCAGACAGAATGTAACATTTATTCCAACACCATACATCTAAAAATACTGTAAATGACAGAATACTACATGAGTTCCCTGAGTTCTTCAATGAACTTCACACTAAATTTTAGGGACTGGCTGTCCACTCTATCAGCTTAAATTTGAAATCAATGCTCCTTCCTGTTTGCAAAGACTGAACCTGGACATCAAGCAGGTTGTTGGTTTCCCTTCATGTGAATATGATGATTAAAAAAAGAATCTTAATCAAATACAATAGTATTAAATCCGTCACATCTCACCTTCCCTCGTGCTGGGAAACGTTGACGAGGGCTCTTCGGTTGATGGTGGCTCAGAGCTAGAGGGCGGCGACGACAATAGGGACTGGCTACTGCTACTGCTCGTCTCGCTACTGAAAATGGGTGATTGGCTACTCCCAGTGCTTTGGATGGGCTTGGGGGTGCAGTCCTCTCCTGGCTGCTTCTTCTGGATGTCTGTGGTCAAGGACAGAGAGTGTGGGATTAGAGGGGGACAAGGTCTGAACGCGTTGAACAATGTGAGTTGAGGCTTTAAAATCTATGGGGTGACGATGTGCCAAGTTGAAAAGAAAGGTTTTATTCCGAGGCACTGGTGACAGTTGCAGAGTTCTTTGGATTTTAACAATAATTTCATGACCAGGTGGAAAACAGTTAAAGAGGGTTTTATTGACTGCACTGATACTCTCCTGAAATTAAGTTTCTAACATACGACGGATGCAAGATTTGAAGAACACACCTATGAGACGCAGACGTCAACTTGAAAAGACAAACTTTTATCTAAGAAGAGACCACTTTGATCTTCATGGGACAATGGTGTCAATGGCGTTCTTTACTTTAGAACTGAAACTGTTTTTCAGTTCAGATTAGATCAACGACGGGAACTGAAGGCAAAGCTGGTGTCCTGGTGAATAATGTACAGATGTTTTCGTTGATGGAGCACTTTTTTAGAGATAACCTCTGTTTTACCTCTGCTGCCGTCAGCAGTGCTCATTTTAAAGACGACATAGTATTGATCAGAGAGGGCCACATAAGTTCTCACAACACAACAAGCGTGACGACCTTTAGGAAAAGATTGGTCGAAAATACTTAACTTATTAGGTGTTGAACATATTGTATACTGGGAAGATACTCGAAATCCAGGACAAACTGAATTTCTTTGCACTGCCCTCTTTGAGATGATCAATATGATTATTAGAACCACCCACGACAAGAACACAATTTAAAAATCAATACACACAGCTGACAGTGTTTAACAAACTCATGAAAGATCTCAACTAGGAGGGAAAAATGAAAAACATCTGTACCGTAGAGAAAGCTGTGCATAAAGTTTTAGAAACAGTCCCGGCTCTGAACTGTGTTAAACACATGACACGAGTTCACTCTGCCAACTCTGATTTAGTAAAAGTTGGACATCATCACATTTGCACTTCGACCCTCCCTGTATAACCATCTCAGACGTTATTGATCCAAGAGGATGCCGTCTTTGTTCCTCCCCCTCCAGGGAGGGTGAGGGAGGTCAGCCTAGATTTCAGTTTCTCCTCCACATGTGGGCTAACCCACTTCTGCTCAGCCTCAGTACTCAAGCGTATTGTGTCTATTCTGAGCGCTACAGCTGTCTGTGATGCTAGACTCGATGCTGCGGCCCTACGGTTCTCGCTGTCTGCTGTACTCTCCGGTTGCCATGGCCGCCACAGGGCTGCAGTGCACCCTCAACCCATCCTCCCGAACCAAACTGGAGATGACACTGAGAAAACCTAATGCCGGCTTTGACATTTTCAAACTTTAATTGGGCTTTTTTCTTTGTCTGACACGGTGCAGAAAAACACATTCTCTACATTCAAGTAGTTTCATAAGAAAATGCTAGAAGCTGTCACCAGAAAGAGATTCACTGGGGTGGTATCCAAAAGTACGACTGATACTAACTCTTAACTGATCTCTCCAAAGCAATTCAAGGTTTTTTTTAATATAATGGCTTCAATTTTCCCTTACACAAGCATGTTCCTTTCTTCACAAGCATGTTCCTTTCACATTTAATAACCGACATCTTCCTTCAAAGGTTTGTAAGCATCACTACCTGAGATCAGCTTTTCACTGTGTCCCTGGTATGAAGGACAAAATGTGACTTGTATAAAACAACAAGTGGAGGAATACAGAAT